ACAAGATGAGTTGGAAACTCATCTTGACTAGATCAGATCCTCTTACACACTTTATTTTCTCTTGTTACCACTATATACACACTACTTGGTCCACATGGTACAATCACTGGAACATTTTAAAATTCTCTAGAACAAACTCTTTGCTGCCTCTAACTCCACTCCTGTCCCAGTATATTATGATTTACACTTAAGACTTAAATTCTAAAATTTCATGCTAAAAGCCTTCATTTCAGAGCATGTGGCCATCAAAAACGTTCTTTACTAGCTGTGGGGAAAACAATATAATCATCAGGATGATACACAAATTAGCAATATGGAGACTTCCCTGCACAACTTTCTTTTCTTATTCTAAGCTAAAATAAAAGAAGAAAGCAGAAAAACATTGTTTTTCAACATTTATTAAGTTCCTGCTATGCCATCAGAAACTTTCTGACCTGGCTACTTTAACCCAGCCATTTTGATGGGGCTTAAAATAAAACAAACCATTACACTTTCAGCTGTTTTATAAATTACCAAGTAATGTGTAAAACAGATGACCTTACCTCTTTCCTGAGACTCATCCTAGTGCCAGCCTCTATCAGAAGGTGAGGTTCAAGGATAAAATGGGAAGCTGGCATATTTATATTTTCCATTTGCCAGAGAAGATGTGTGGATGACCCTTGGTCATCTCAAAGGGTCAATAATCATACTCTGTGAGCTATCTTCTCACTCGGAAAATTTACTTGTATCTTGATATATACTTCAAATATCTTGATTTCCACCTACCAAAGGTCAATGATGTTAGAGGGAGAAGATATTTGCATCACATTATACACTCTTATTCTTAGATTCAGACTGTACAAGAAATCCACCATTGAATTTTGAATAGTAATCTCAGGTATCTCAGTAATACATGCATTTTTTTACATCATTACTCTCCTTTAACTGGGGGTTTTCCAAACACTTAATAGATACAACTTAGAAGTTAACCTAAAATCTGGGGAAAGAGTTGTTGCCTATGATGAACAAGGCCCTAGGTTCAATCAAAAGAAAGGAAGAAAGAAAAGAAAGAAAAAGAGAAATATTTTCAAATTAAAAGGTAATATTCTCTTCATTTTTTAGTAGAGGAATTAATATAGGAGAAAGAGAAATACTCTGCTAACTTTAGATTGGAGTTAAGTAGATATATGTGCTACACACAGCAACTAATAGGTTTAAAAAAGTAATAACTATTCCTTCTTGAAATAGTTCCTCAAATGACAAAGTCAAAATGACTTTCTTAAGGATTTATTTTGCTTTTTGTTTTTTCAGTGCTGAGGGTTGAACCCAGGGCCTTACACGTGCTAGGCAAGCATTACACCACTGAGTTATACCCTCAACCCCCAGTGCTTTAGATCTTTGATAGTAATCGATGGTAGCTCAGCTGCAAAAGGTGAGGGACCAGAATAAGAGATTAGAAGGCTATTGATAATGAAAAACATTTTCAAATTAAGAAAAACTGCCATCAAATGAGACTCTGCTGATGTCAATGTCAGCTATATAGAGATGCATAACTACTTTATAAAATGGAAAAATGAGAACAAGTAATTCAATACCTCATGGGAGTGAGAGATAAGTTAAGGCAATGAAGGCAGATTGTTGAACAATGACATAAAAATAGATGAGTTTTTAACTTGTACATATGTATTTATATTCCTTTAAACCTTGTCTACATTATATACTATGGCATGTTAGAAAAAATAAAGATTAATGTTTATTTTACCCAAAGACTAATATAAGTGATCTCTATTGCCCTGACTACAGCATGTCTATCTAGTGGGTTTACATGATGAGTATATAAGATTCTACTCATTCTTTTGTCACCTAATACCTAAATACCAGGAAAAATTAACCAGAGGCAAAACTATAAATATAAATTAGTGTAGTAGTGGTTTTTCATTGATGCAGGAGTGGTTTACTCTGATCAAAGCCACAGCCCCAAAACACCACACATATGAACAAATTATTTGCATACAATGTCTGGGGATTCTCAGACTTGAAGTTAAGGGACCCTGTCCTGGTTTCCTTTGATCCTGAGCACAGGGCTTCATTTTGTGGATAAAGATACAACATTCTTAGCTGGGTACTAGCAGAATCACCTTCCAGCAACATGTTCCTTGCTGTCTTTCTGCCTCAGATAGCACACTGATGAAGTGTGGATAGTGGCATAGCTCAATTTTACTTGGGGTCCTAGGGAAACTGGCACATTGCCACAACTGTTAACCCTGTCTTGGAGGCCAATGTGCCAGCTCACTATAACAATAACAGTAAAAATAATAGAACAGAAACTCCCTAAAACCTTTTTTTTAACCAGTATATTGACAGGCGTGCAAAACTCGACTGGAGGTGTAATTTTTTTGCCTTCTTTCTACATTAATTTTTCTTCCTGATTTCAATTAGCCAAACTTGAATGGAGACATTACAGACAGTTCAACCCCACCTCAGAGCTGTGCAGACAGCTCTTGCTGCCAAGCTGTCTATCACCTAGACAACTAGGCCAATGTGCTTTGCTCTGGGTAAATACCTCATCAGGGCCAGTTGCAGAAGGAGCCTCTTTGCAATGACCTCCCATCAGATCAAAATCCTGAATCTTAGTTATCCAAAATACTTTTTGAAAGTATATGGGGTTTAAGTAAATAATCACTAATATTTTAATAGTTCTTTATGCTAATTAAAAGTAGCTATTTCCAGAGATACCATCATATGCAGGCAAGTTGATGAGAGGGATCTAGAAAAACTATCCTCCCTGGTAAGTCTAAAGTTCCTCTATTTGTGGGTCATTATCGTTTTTCTCTTTTGCATTAATTGTAACTTTTTCCCAACACCTTCTTCTAAGCCACAACTTCCCCTGAAGTGGTCATCAGTTATATAGCAATCTTCCTATCTCCAGTGTCTTCTCTTTAAACATTTTGAATAAGAAGAAATGATAAAAGATGGGATGGCCATGTCTGCATAATATATCAAAATATATTCTACTGGGCTGGAGATGTGGCTCAAGCGGTAGCGCGCTCGCCTGGCATGCGTGCGGCCTGGGTTCGATCCTCAGCACCACATACCAACAAGGATGTTGTGTCCGCCGAGAACTAAAAAATAAAATATTAAAAATTCTCTCTCTCTCTCTCTCTCTCCTCTCTCACTCTCTCTTTTAAAAAAAATATATTCTACTGTCATGTATAGCTAAAAAGAACATGTAAAAAAATTTTTTAAAAGATGGGATGGTTGGCACTCATGACTTAGATGACAAAAATGTATGAGATGGGTTACCCTAACTCTTTGGACATAGTGGCATTTAATGAAATTACATTTTTGATAAGTTCAGTACATGTAAATGAGTAAAAAAAAATAGAAAAACACTCTGCTTTCAGGAGATTCAAAGAAAGTTTTAAAAAATCTTGGCATAAAAGTGCTGAATTTGGGGGGGGGGGCTTAAGGATCTAGCAGAGGTGGCAGATCACTGTACTCCCCCCATCCAGGCTCCATTAATGCTGATCTACCCTCAGGAGCTTTCTGAGCAGCCCCTCACAGCTTTATTGTTTGCTGGTCTCCTTGGCGGCAGGTGTCTGCTAATCAAAGGCTTAAGAAGGTGTGGGGTTTAGGAGTCAGCCCTGACTGGAAGGAAAACTTTCCATTCAGCCTTGGGCAACAATATTGGAGCTTTTTTTTTTTTGAATGTTGTAATCAACTCTGTGCCAAGTGGGGCCCAAGCTCCCCCTACACAGCCCCAGGAATCCAAAGAAAGAAGTGTTTTCAATTCTCTTCAGAACGTCTGATCTCCCACACTGCAGACCAAATAAAAACAGTCTGGGCCAATTGTGCCTCCTCCTACCCCCATCTATTGTGGAATCCGCTGAGAGAAACTCAGGAAAGTTGGCCTCAGGCCAGCAGTGGCCTTCTATGGAAGCAGAAAAAATTCCCTTACCTTCCCTCCCACTGATAATTTTGGACAATGAAGGAAGAGCCCCAACCTGAGATATCCCTTGGAGAGGGGACAGGGCAGAGCCTACAGTGATGTACTGGGATACCAAGACCTAAAAGGTTCTCACTCATCTGAGTTGGTATCTTCTATGTGCATACTATCTTGTTAGTTATCTTTCATCTTATCAAGTAGACTAGGAGGAAGAGTGGAAAAAGATGGGAGTTGAACTGGGTGGGGACTGAATCTCAGCACTACTGCTTACGCACTTATTAAAACATTAGACAATTTAATCCACAGACCAAGGCTGTCATCCCAGTTCTCCCACAAGCTAGCTGTGTGACCTTGGCCAAATCCCTACCTCGGTTTCCCTATCATAAAAATGAGGAGGTTATACTAGAACATCTTTAATGGTCTCTGTAAGTCTACTAGTTTAAGTCACTTCTGGGAACCTGAATTTTAAAAACACTCAAGTGGGAAGAGACACTCAGAAGTTATTGTCCACCCCATCTCCAATTCCCATCAACCTCAATAGAAAACTTGGGCTATAGCTGCCCCAAGCCATTTGTCTTGGGGGTTTCCCAAACCTTGCAGGAAGAAGGAGTAGGCAATGAAATGCCAAATCCACAATAAAAGTCCAGGTGGCCATGCTCAAAGTAAGAACAGCTCGGAACTGCAGGTTTCCAGGCCAGAGATGCCTAATAATAAGCTAATAATAAGGTAATAGCTGCTTTTCCCTAAGAATTTTACCAAGCAAACCTTGCCATGTAAGTGAGAGGTAACCTGGAGAACATGGCTCAGTACCACCAAAGCCAGGGCTCAGGGCTCACCTAATGCATCCTGAGCCATGGCAACAGCAAAAGCTCCAATAGAAGAGAACCAGGGAGCATCTTGAAGACAAAAACTATAGCAGGAAACGCTTCTAAAAACTCAACAGAAGGAAACAAGAGAAAGCTCTCTCGTATTGCAAGGGTTATCAACTACAGAGCCAGAAGAGACGATGCCAAAAGGCCTGGATAAACCTCATACAAATATTGGAATGAAGACTCTTGGAAACCATAACTCCCTTCAGGATCTAAATGAACAAAAGTTTACAAGGCTAATTGTAAAATTTCAGGTACTGTCATAGTTTGGGGGGCTGGGTAGAAATATGAGGAAGAGTACAGTGGAATTCTAAGCAATATAATGCTTACAGTAGAAACACAGGCTATTTCCATTCTCAAACTCTTCTAGTGTGGATTTATTAAAAATAAAACTAAATAAAAAAAAAGAACAAGGCTAAACTCAAACTTACATTTTTGTGTTCATGACACTAAATAAACAGATTTTAGTGAATTCTCCCTTTTTAACTAGTTGGTTGGTATTGTATAGATGCAGCCAGCATCTAATATGCTTTCAATTGTGTCCTCGGCCCTCAAGACCCTGGGGGTCTGAAATCTCAGCCAACTTTGCAATTTAATCCAAAACCCAAAGCAGTTCAGATTCCAAGTAACCTGTTACCCTCTGCTAGCAAAACATCACTCGTGGTTTGAAAAATACCATTTTTAATAACCCCTTTTCAGTTTCCTGGCAGGCCCCCAGCTTTACTTCAAAGTTGATTTTCCCCAGTGAGAGTACAGCTGGAAGAATCCAGAAGTGCACTGTGCCACACTCCCACTATCCCAGGCTGTGAAGGCCCAGCTCTAGGGTAATGAGGAAGGCTGGGGTGGGAAGGCAGGCAGGGGGAGGGGCATACTGTGGATCACAGGGAAATAGCCTCAGCTCAGGCCTTTCCAGAGACAAAACAATGTATCAACCTTAACAGTGAACAACTGAAGGAATTAAATCCAAATTGAATTTGGATTGTATCATTTTGGTTTATTTTTAAATAAATTTGATAAAGAGAAACCATTCTAATTTGAACTGCCTCTGGAGTACCATAGTTTTTTTTTTCATTGACCCATTCTTCAGATGACACCAAAATAGATGCCAAGAACACAATCTATGAAGAGAGGCAGTGGAGGCAGGGGTGAAGGCAAGTAAACAGAACTTCAACTTTGGAGAAGATGAAGAGACTTAGGGTCTCTTAAGACAAGTGCAGAGTGAACTCTCCTTAAACTCCAAGACAGTAGCCTTACAGTCCTGAATTTGCTCTTGTATTTCTTGCCCAGGACTAGTGAAGTTGGGGTTGCCAATAAAATGACCACTTTGCTCAAAATGTCTCATTTAAACTCCAAGCCTTCTTAAAACAGCAGAGCAGGATTTTGGCCAGAAAGTGCTTTCTAGTACAAACACCAGTGCAATTTTACAAGGCAGGTAAAGCCCAAAATTATGTTGCTAATTAATTTTATATTTCCTCCAGCTACCTAGAACCAACTGTAGCCCAACATTCCCCAATTGGGATTTTGCCAAGAATTCAGATAATGCCATTTATGGACCATGCCAACAGCTGAGGTCATGCTTTCTGTCTAAAGGAAAAAAAGAAAAAATAAATAGGGAAGGATTTGTGGAAAGTACATATTAGGGGATTGGGGCAGAAGGGAGAGGAAAGAGACAAGAGGTAAAAAAAAAAATCTTTCTATAGCAACCAAGCCCAAACAGACACACATACCAGAGGAGGGCCTGGAGGCTTTGAGTTTGCATGATTTGGGGGTAAAAGTGAAGCAAAACAGAGAAATCGGCGACTCTACAGAATGGTAGGGAAATAACTACTTGACCTTAAAGAAGTAAAATCCTCTAAAATTTGAAGAATATAAAAATGAAAAGCCTAATGTTTTGAATTACAGCTGGTGCAAACCCTCTCTGTTATGTGCATGCCAGGAATGTGAATTATGTCCTACTAGATTTGGAGTTCTGTAATTATAAGTGAATTTTTTCCAACACAAATTCAGATTCCAAAAACTAAAAAGAACTCTAGAGTCACAATATTCTGAATATTAGAGCTGAAAAAGAGCTTGGATTCTATCAGATCTGAAAAAGACTTGGCTTCCATCAGATCTAATTGCCCCTGTTTTAGAGATGAGAAAACTGAGGCCCCAAACTGTGGCAGCAAAATATCCCAGAGTAAATTAGTGGCAGAGTCAAAACTAGAACTGAGACCTAGTGAGGGTGGTTTCCAAATTATCAGTTGATAATGAACATTTCACTGGTCCCAAAGAAAAGTGAGAAAAGCAAGGACTATGTAGTGATTATTTTATAAAGTTAAATTTTTAAACTACTTTTAATGTTGACACTGTATCCTTTTACTTTTGATGTTAAAATATCTCTTCTTTTATGAAATTATGGTGATAAATAATAATTATTGTTTTGTAATATCCTTAATTAGCAAAAATAAATACATTGGCAACCCTGTGTGATGCCTCAATATTCTGGGGAAAATTTGTGGTGTGTGAAAATCACTAGTGTAGTCTAATATTCTGCAGGATATCACCTCTCAGTCCAAGGTCTCTTCTGACCCTAAGTTTGTCAACTTAGTGAATATGCTGCTGAAGTGTTATTTCATGGACGACACATAAAACAGGATGGTTTGTCTGGGATGTGGGGTAGAGGTCAAACTAGAAAAGGAAAGCAGCATATGACAAAACATGGAGAAAGAAATTGGTTTGTGATGAATACCTCATCCTGTTTTTTGTTATGGTAACTTCAAATTACCTTATTCCTGATTTAACAGGAAATAATTTTTTCAGTATATATTTATATTTTTCAACTCAAATTTTCACCATGAGGGAAAAAGATCACAAATTTTTGAGCAGTAGGCATATTGTATACAGGAAGCTTTGATAAGGTTAAGTGACTCGCCTGAAATCACTTGGTTCATATGGGCATTGAGGCAGAAATAAATCCTAGGACTTCATTCTAGATCTCATAATCCTTCCTCCTATCAACATTTTTATTCTGTGGGCATGTTAGCTCAGTTTCTGCATATGACTCATCATTTGAAAAATGACATTATTATATGCTCTATATGCCCCAAAGTACTCACCATTGCCACTCCAGGTGACAGGCCCAAGAAGCAAGCACCAGGACCAAGAAGGAATATAAGGTAACTGGGAGTATAAAGGCCTTTGGCTCTTGGCCATGCACTTATGTGATTTGTGGGAGATATGTGCCCCAATTTTCCTATCACTATAAGTATCTGTTGCTATCACTTCTAGCCAGATAAAGGCCAGAGGAGTCAACCACGTGTCAAGATATACACGCAAGTATCATCGTCATCAAATATTCAATGATTGTAATTGAGATGACTTGACTAATGAAGAATGTTGGAAAAATGTTTCACCCTAGTCACCACTCTCCATCACTCAATCAAGACTAAATATTATCATCTAATTGGATTCTAATGTCATCTTAAACCAATAATTTTAAAGACAGAACAACTAATACTAACCAAATAAACCACACTACATAGTATAAAACCAAATCCAAATGCCTTTGAGATTTCTGCTATTTAGAACTGTTGCTGTTTGGGATTGCTGCTATTTGGGATTCTAGCTGGGATAATACCCATCTCTGTACCCTACTGTATAGGTAGGAATCACACTATGTTTTTAAGCAAATGCCAAAGACTGCCTTCTGGCTCCTGGTTAAATTTTAGTAGCTAGTAACTTTTAGGACCTAACTTAGCGAGGTACTAGGAGAGTTGTCAAGTAGTCACTTAACTGTGGCCCAGCTAGAAACTGCCTTCATTCATAATAAAGTTTTGAAAAAGAAACCAGTATCTCCCTCTGGACAGGCATAGTCCAATACAGACCTTAGACCTGGCCCATCAATAAATGTTTATCTCTGAAACCCTGGTAAAATAAAACAAGGCTCAGGGGCTTTGGGTAAAACAGTCAGCTTCCCAGACTCACATGGGAAAAAGTTAATATGGTGGTAATGAGCCACTTAAATGCCTGTCTGCCTATGTTACAATAACATGCCCTTTTCATTCCTTCCAACAGCTCCCAACGGGCAGTGCGGACAGCTGCATTTTGTGGGTACTTCTCTCCCACTCCGTACACCTACCCAAAGAAAGCAAATCACGTCTTATCTCATGCAAACACTTTTTGAAACTTACTAGATTTCCCCCTTTCCTTTGTTTTTATTGTTATTGCTGTTTTTACTTTTTTTCTATTATGCTTTTTATCCATTAAGATTTTTTATATCCTTTTCTGTGTTTCAGTACTTTTTCCCTTTCCCTGTTTATTCAATCTCTTTTCTTTTGATGTTCAGTTTTTAGAGCAGTTTGTTTTTCTGTTTAGAGGAAATTTTGGTGTGGTGTGTGTGTGTGTGTGTGTGTGTGTGTTCTGGGATTTTATTTTTTAGTTTAGTTTTTCTTTTGCTTTGTCATTTTATGTTTTGTGGAGTTTTGGATCATTTTGTTTCTTTTTTTGCTTGTAGTTTTTTAAAATTTTCTTTTCCAGTTTTTTTTCCATTTTTTGGTCATCTTGTGCTTGATTTTTGTTTTTGTTTATTTTGCATTTCCCTTCACTACACATCTTTCTTTCCTTGGGTTTTGGATTTCAATTGTGTTTTACTTCTTTGTTTTTTCAGAGATTATGTCAGGGGCTAGAGAGATTTTTTTTTTTAGAACTTTAGGCTGGTTTTTCTTTTATGATTTATCCTTTTCTGCATTGTTTTCTTTCATTAAAAAATCTTTCTCTCTCCTCTTATGCCTATTGTATTTTAATTTTTTAAATATTATCTTTATTTTAGAATAGTTTTAGGTTTATAGAAAAGTTGAAGATAGTACAAAGGATTCAATATACACAACATCCTTTTCAATACCACCCAGTTTTCCCTATTATGAACATCTTTCACTAATATTTTACATTTGTTACAATTAGTGATTCTGATATATACTTTTAATTATTTATACTTTTTAACTAACGTCCATACTTTATTCAGATGTCCTTAGTATTTACCTAATGTCCTTTTTCTGTTCCAGGATCCCATCCAAGATACCATATTACACTTAGTTGTCATGTCTCCTTAGGCTCTTCTTGGCTTGGACAGTTTCTCAGACTTTCCTTATTTTTGATGACCTTGCCAGTTTTGAGCAGTACCAGTCAGGTATTTGTAGAATATCCCTCAAATGGAATTTTTCCAATGGTTTTTCTCATGATTCGACTGAGGTAATGTGTTTTGGAGGAAAAAAAAAACACACAGAGGTGAAGTGCTCGTCTCATCACATCAAAACAAAGGTACATAGTATCAACATGATTTATCACTACTGATGTTAACCTTGATCACTTGGTTGAAGTACATTTATTTGCCAAGTTTTTCCACTGTGAAGTTACTTTTTCCCCTTTTCTGTACTATACTCTATGGAATCAAGACATTGCCCATGCTTGGGATGGGATGGAAGAACTACACTTTACCTCTTGGAAAGTGGCAAGTATCCAAATTGATGGTTTGGAATCCAATACCATATCATTTATTTTGCTGCTCTAATTGTTCTAACTTTGGCCATTGGTAGTTTTTTAGGATTAGTTCTTATGTTTCTTTGTCATGTCCCCTTCCTTGTATATTTTCACTCATTTAACTTTCTAAAATTATTTCCTATTTTTTACATGTGTTTCCTTTTCACTTTAGTTTTCCTTCTAGTTTCACTCTTCTTCCTCTTTTCAACCCTGATACCTTTTAATATTTTCTTCTTTCCTCTTTTTTTAAGTTTCCACCTGTGTTTTTAAAATATTCTCCATTTCCAACAGATTTTTTCTTTTCTCCTTTTTACACAGCATAATTTTATTTTAAACATACTATATATAACCAGTACATTGTCCATAACTAGTAAAACTATAACATATATAAAGATGCAAAATAATAATAATACACCCTCATTTCCACCATGTCAAACTCACTGTCAATATCATTGGTCATCTACTGTATTTCATACCACTCCTGTAAAGCCATGTTCCCTCCCAGGAATGACCAAAAGACCCCATGTGGTAACTTCTGAGAGTCTGCTACCAACTCTAATCCACAGTTATAGTCATTAAACTGAAAATTAGCTGTAATGCCAAAGCCAGAATCAAATATTTAATGCCTTTCTATATAGAAATATGCACATTGAAATCACCTTGGATAGTTATGACTGAAGGAGAAACATCATACAATTCCTGTTACCAGGAGTTTTTAGCTCCTATGATCCAGACAGTGTGTATATGTATGTGTGAATGTATTCCCAAGTTCAGGGACTTACCAGGAACCAGGAATAAGGAGTGAGTTGGAGCCTATAGATCTTAGGGAAGAAAAGCTTATCAGAAATGAAATTCATGTAGATGGAAGGTACTAGGAAAACACCAGAAGCTTCACAACTCAGGTGACCTATTTGAAGGCTCCATTCTGTCACCACTCTTTTAACTGTTTTGTCTCTGTTCAGTTATGTTTTCTGGGAAGTTGACATCTCAAGCCTATCTACAGCCAGGCTGGCAAATAAAACTGAGTCCCCAGTTATTTTGTTTTTTTGCACTCTACTTTCCCTGGGTATAAATGGAAATAATAATCCTAGAGCTTTTTTTGACAAGTCCCAACAAGTCCAGCAGTTAAGATCTTCTTTCAAGTCTAATCCTTCATAGGAGCTTGGCGTAGGGAAAAGAAGAATCCGGTAAATAAGACGACCCCTAGAGCATCCTTCTGATGGTATGAGTCATTCATCTGAAGGCTTTTGCTGGGGATGTCAATTAAGGTTGACACTAGGAGCCAAACAGACTCTGTGAGCTAGGACAAAATTGGATTCCTTTTGGAGCTGGGGAGAGAGGAGAATGGGATTTCTAGATCCTACTAGAGCCTTCTACTCCCTTTTTTTGTCATGCTATCTGCTTAGAAAAGAAGCCAGAGATGACTTTATTTTTTAAAAGTTTTATCCTTCCAACAAGGAATCCCTTCCAACACAGCCTACAATGGAATGGTACTCCAGGTCCAGGACCCCTGACCTAGGGCAGTGTGCTTGCTGGTAGAGATCCACTCTACAGTGTCAGAGCTGTTCTCCCTGTCTTTGGCTTTCCACTATGTATCAGCCAAGGTCTTATATTGGCACTGGGACCAGAGACCATGTGACTTTATCTTCCTTCAATGTGGTATTAATTTTCACTAGGAAAAAAAAAGAAAGTGGTTAATGGAAATCAGGCACTTAAGGTAATAAGAGGGACAGAGTTTTGCCTTAGGGTAAAACATAAGGGTTTGATTTTCCTAGAATTCTCAAGATGATTCTGAGGTCAGCAGCAACTAGTACGGGGGCAGTGCAAATACATGAGGTGAAGTCCTCAACTGAAGACCTGGAGTCAGAAGAACCCACTATACAGTCCACATGTTGGAGGCCTTTTCAACAATGTGGCTGTAATCTACATGTAGATGGATTGAGCAAGCCTACTCTGGGAGGTAACCTCAAAAAAGCAAAGGTAATACTGGGGTGGAAGACCAAAGAATGCTCCACAAGAATGATGGTGTTTCTGTTTTGATGGTCCAATTTTTTGCCCATGGCAAGGGAAAAGTAGCTATTTACAAGGACAGCTAGGAAGGCCTCCACACAAACATCAGCCCCTTTAAGACTAGACATTTCACTGTTAGTTTAAGCACTGTAAATTCCCTGGGCTGCCCCTGGAAAAGGTATATTCAATCCCAGACACTGTAAATCCTAAAGTAGAGAAGGAGGCCCAACAAAGGGAAGTTTTCCCTTTGGAATGTAAAATACTTGCATCAAGTGAATCAAAGACTTACAAAGCAGGAAGTGACCTTAGAGATCTTTTAAGTCACCTTGAAACTTAACTATAATAAACAATTCCCACAGACTAACAATTAAAAAAGAGGGGGGAGAGTTTGAGCTGGAAATAGAAAGAGGCTCTAGCCTATAAAGGAAGGCTGAACAGAGAAACAATTTTCATTTTCAGAGGGGGATCTTGAAGGGAAAAGGCAAAATGGCAATGGGTAAGATGAAGGGGCACAGGCAAAGACAGGCCAACACATAGCCAGCAAGAGTTATGTGGAGGTCTAATATTAAAATATAGTTTGTAATGAACTCCAATGGTGCAGGAAACTCTCAAACAACCAGACATGTACAAGGTTTTTTATTTTGCATTAGGTCCCTCAGAATAGTCAAATTAGAATGTTTTTGTTAAAGCAAATACCCATCTGAACCCAAATCTAGTCATAACCCATTACAATAAAGCTATGGGTAGGTTAGTGGCAAATGTCTATGTTTATCTCTATGTGAAATACAAAATACAGAATGTACACTATTGAGGTTTGTTATGGACCTACTGGGAAGGTTTATAAGACACAATAAGACTTCTCAAGAATACACAGGGAAAATTGCAATAGTAAGATTCTCTCCTGTTAAGTTCCCTTCCCCTACCTGAAGTCTAGTCATGAGTATGGGACTGTTACTGTATTATTTGAGGAGAAATGGGAAATGGAAAAGTAGACTTTTCAGAAGAGTATTTAGAAAGTTATTCTCTTTGACTATATGATTTGAAGGTTTTGTTTTTTCTTTATTTGAAAGTAATATATACACATAATAAACAGTTTTAACACGTCACAAAGAGTATATGCAACTTTAAAGTCAGTTAACTTTGCTAGTGGAAAACACGGTTAAAAGTTCCTTGTGTTACCTTCCAGAGACAGTTGACTTTTACAAGTATATATCTACACAGTTATAATGTTAGATCATACACTTGTGTGAAGTTGGCTTCAGAGCAATATTATATTTCCACAGATATGGTCTATACCATGTGACCAAATAATCTCCAAAGATTTAGCCAGGCAAAAGTCTCTTACTGTACATCACATACAAAACCCAAGCTATTAAGATGATGGGGTAAAGCAGGATAGATCCTGGGAGTTGTTAACACTGTGTCTTTCTCTTAGGGAAATGAGGATATTAGTACTGCCATGGTTTGGATGTGGTTTGAGTGTGTCCCAAGACTTCAGATGTTCACATTTCATCCCCATTGTGAGGTAGTAAAGGGGTGGAAAATTAATCCAAATATGGTGTTTAGAGGTGGGGCCTTTGGGAGGTGATTATGTTTAGACAAGGTCATTAGGATAGAGCCTTGATAGTTGAATCCTGGTAGATTTATGAGAAGAGGGAGAGAAACCAGACACATAGATAAACATGTGCTCCCTGTCTCTTGCTATGTGATGGACTGCTCCATCTTAGGATCTGACCAGCAAATCCCCTTAACTGTATATCTCCTGAACCATGAGCCAAAATTAGCTTCTTTGATTTATAAAGTATCCTGCCTCATATATTTCATTATAGAAATGAAAAAATGAACTGGTAGAAGTATCTACCTCAGTATTATTGTTTTAAGTACTGAAAGAACTAACATGCATAAAAGTACTTAAAATAGTGCTACTTAGGTATTAGTCTCTGTCATCATCACTATAACTGTTATTTTTTCTTGATATTGTTGTTACTGTGAAAAGGGCAGCTTGGAGCTTCTTGGAGCCATTCTCCAATTTTTCTAGATTTTCCTCACAGGTATTTCCAAAGATGGGAGTGGCTACCTGTCACTCTTCTTCCTCTGAGATATCTCCCCTACCAAGATCTAAATCCTGGAACCAATTGGTAACCACAATTGTACCTTAGAAGCTCTACTGGACATGAGGATAACTTGGCCCCACTGCCTGGCATTCCTCTCACGGCATCAGTGGGATAAACTGTTTCATATGTTATTACTCACTACTGTTCTTGTAAAGACCATGGAAATACATGGACAGACCAGCGGCTCACCACACTTTCTGGGGAATTACTCAGCCTAGAACATGTTGTTTCCATCTCCTTTGTGTGATTCAGTTCCTCCTCATCCTTATACTTCTCATTGCTTCTGAGGAGTTGCATGTTACTAGCTAGCCACAAACACTGCAGTGCCTTATCCTGCTGGCTAGTCCTCTACGCAGCTGGTGCTACTGGCATAGGCTGGACTCCACAGTCACAGGTCAAACATCTCATGCAGCCTATGTCTGCCATCTCATTCCCTTAGAAGTCCTTTGAAGAGGAAAAACCAAGCACACAGATCCACACCACAGCTTCCCTCACCTACTAATGTGTCCTGGAAGGCAAAGGGTTGAAAGCTAACAGACTAGCCTTTCCCTACTAGTGAGTCTCATCACTGACTTCTTACTTC